AGACATGAAGAAGAGGGGACACATGTTGATGAAGAAGAGACATGAAGAAGAGGGGACACATGTTGATGAAGAAGAGACATGAAGAAGAGGGGACACATGTTGATGTAGAAGAGACATGAAGAAGAGGGGACAAATGTTGATGTAGAAGAGACATGAAGAAGAGGGGACACATGTTGATGAAGAAGAGACATGAAGAAGAGGGGACACATGTTGATGTAGAAGAGACATGAAGAAGAGGGGACACATGTTGATGTAGAGGAGACATGAAGAAGAGGGGACACATGTTGATGTAGAAGAGACATGAAGAAGAGGGGACACATGTTGATGTAGAAGAGACGTGAAGAAGAGGGGACAAATGTTGATGTAGAAGAGACATGAAGAAGAGGGGACACATGTTGATGTAGAAGAGACATGAGGAAGTGGATTTTGCATAAAAGGTGACCTTTAAGTCAAGAGGCTCCAAGTCTTTTACTGCCTCTACGCACCTATGACTCAAGTATGACTTAATAACCACACTCAACCCAGAGTCCACACTAACACAGAGAAGCCTTGCATTAGCCCGTGTCCTTTTTATTATGACCATTTCATTCATTATTCATGGGGAAAGGTTTGCAGAGATCCAGCTCAGCATCCTGAGGCGTGACTTTCATGACTGGAACTCTTACATCATCCTCTCTCCCCCCCTTCCTCACCTTTTTCTCTCTTACCTCCCTTTAGATTTTTCATTAAAAGTAATTTTTCATGCAAATATGTTTTGATCTTATCCGACAAATAAGGACATTTAAAGCCTTTGAGAACGTTGTATAACAAATCTCTGCTCCATAGCTTCTCTTGGACATTTGTATTCAATTTAATATTTAATATTCCATCCCTCACATGCATATATAATAACTTGCTTTATATTTTGTGAAAGTGCATTTGTAATTCAACATGTATATTTTCTACTTTCTTGTTTATTTCTAGTCTTTTAATTTGTTATTGTACAATGCCATGCCTTTTTCTGCTGCTGCAACACAACACATTCCCAAATTGCGATCAATAAATACTTCTTATTTTATCTTAGTGTCTGAGAGGAATCAAATAACGACCAAAGAAGCTCAAAATGTCCGATAAATCCGCCTCGTTTGACTCAATGCAGTTTATTTAATGATTCTGGATGCATGGATAAAACACAAAGCCCCTGTTTTCATCTCTCTCTTACCTCACTTTAGATTTTTCATTCAAAGTTATTTTTCATGGAAATCTGTTTTTAATCTTATCCGACAAATAAGGACATTTAAAGCCGTGGATTTTGATGAAACTTGGACGGACATTTTTCACCGTTTCCGGACATTTTATAAACCGTTAATCTGAGGAAGAAATGTCTAGTTTCCGCCCTATTTTCTCTCCGTTGCGTGAGGTCTTCTCAGAACTCCCAAAGCGTGCACTAGCGTTATTACTGATGATTGTAAAGGTAGCTTGATTGACCCTTGAGAAAGAAATGTCAGAGCTCTTGTGCTTAACATTTCTTTTGAGGGCAGAGAGCGCCATAGGTGCTCCAGAGCTGAATAACTGGCTGTTATATCTGATTGCAGCAGAGAGGCAGTGATTGCATTGCACAAAGGGCTCAGGTTGCTTTGAATGAAAGCGCACTGCTGTGTTCCAGACTAGTAATGGCATTTTATTTTTGGTCAAGGGCTTTCAAGGGTTCTCAGTGCCCCCATTATACAGTAGGCTTCCCTGACCTCGAGGAGCTGCTATTTGACAGCAGATGGGCCCCGGCAGTCTATTTCCAAATGTTCTCTCAGCTGTGGATAACCTCGGTGCGTTCAGAGGGCTTGGACATGAAGTCACTTCCAAGTTCTCCTCGTCGAGCACTCAGCAAAACGTCAATGTGAATTAGGGTGGGATTTCCCTTTAAGGTTTCACAGGCTTCCCCCAAAACCAAAGTGAACAGGTCAGCAGCAGAGATGGCAAAAGTACACACACTTTACTCAAGTAGAAGTACAGATACTCGTGTTTAGAAATACTCTGGTAAAATTAGAAGTACTGACTACATTTCTTTACTCAAGTAAAAGTAAAGAGGCTTTGAAATGTACTTCAGTAAAAAGTACCCATAACTAGCAGCTGTTTTAAAGAGTACCTGACCTCCCTTTATATTAATAGAACAATAATGTCATTGTTAGCTAATGAATGTTTCCATGCTGAACAACGGCAACATGACAACGTTTTCATTGGTCCCTCTTCTTTAGAGAAGACCAGGAAATGATGGATACACGGATCGTGTTCAAATCAATAGGCACGCAATGACTCTAAATAATAATGATCACGCCACCAAACACACATTCAAACTAAAGGAACCAGCCTGTTTGGGAAATGAGAGAAGTAGAAAGTACAGGTATTAGTGTTCAACATGTAAGAAGTAGAAAGTACAGGTATTTGTGTTCAACATGTGAGAAGTAGAAAGTACAGGTATTTGTGTTCAACATGTGAGAAGTAGAAAGTACAGGTATTTGTGTTCAACATGTGAGAAGTAGAAAGTACAGGTATTTGTGTTCAACATGTAAGAAGTAGAAAGTACAGGTATTTGTGTTCAAAATGTAAGAAGTAGAAAGTACAGGTATTTGTGTTCAACATGTAAGAAGTAGAAAGTACAGGTATTTGTGTTCAACATGTAAGAAGTAGAAAGTACAGGTATTTGTGTTCAACATGTAAGAAGTAGAAAGTACAGGTATTTGTGTTCAAAATGTAATGTAAGTGGTCAGAAAAATAAGTAGTGGAGTAAAGTACTGATACCAGAAAAATGTACTTAAGTACAGTAACAAAGTATTTGTACTCCACTACTTCCCACCATCGGAGAGCGATCTGTTCGATACTTCATCTGGATAATGTATTGTTTCCCACCTCTGGTCAGCAGTAATGGAGGATGATCGGAGGTAAATCACTTCAGATATCACACGGCGTGTCAAATTACCGTGCTGCTGTCACCCAGTTTGACTTAATTCAGATATCGGTGGCCTCTTTCAAATTGATTCTCGCCTAGCTGGAGGCGGGATGAAATTATTACGCTGAGGCGGGGTTCTTGTCAATCACAAATCACTCGTTGATTTAGTGTAAACAAGCCAGGATTAACACAGGGAGGAGGAGAAGAGTGGCATATCATCAGAACTGCAACTCACTCCTGTTATTGATTAGTCTTTTTAAGCGTAAAAAAAGTTAGATAATAGTCAAAAATATCCAAGTCCTAAGGGATGTCTTTCTGTCAATCCAAACCCCAGATATATTTACCCAAGGAAAGTGTGAAATCTCCATTTTAGAGAGGCTAAAAACGGCATTTTATGACTTTTTTAGCATGAAACATTTCTAAAACAAGTCATAAATTACTAAATTAGTTGTTATTCCTCCATCTGAACCATATGTTGTCAGAGTCATTACAATATATTTGTCATTTTGAAAGCTGACTACCACGCTGTAAATTTAGCACAAGGCTCCAGAGGTCTGAAATTAAATCTTGAAGGATTTCCAAACCAGCCGAAACAATGCAACACATGTACAGCAGCACAACAGTCACACACACACACACACACACACACACACACACACACACACACACACACACACACACACACACACACACACACACACACACACACACACACACACACACACACACACACACACACACACACACACACACACACACACACACACACACACACACACACACACACACACTGGACCCTGTGTTTATGACCCTCTGACTGGGAATATAATCCCTGCACTGCATCGATGATGAGACCAGGACACTGGAGAGGAGAGGAAAGCTAAATTACCAGTGATTGGATTTCGTAAAGGTTGACGCACTAATTGAGGATTCAGAGTGGGGGGTTGGGATGAAGAAGAGGAGGAGGAGGAAGAGGAGGAGGAGTTATATAGATGTCATCACCAGGACATACTGGACAATGCTGACCAGCCGTCATGTACTAAAACCAGAACCAACCGTTTTCATTGATGCACCTGCAAAACACGTCATCATCCAATCATTTCACTGACACTCATGCACAGCAATCTGGGAAATATCTATGCATTAATAAGAAAACGCAAATGCCAGAATAATTTGGATTGTACCTCAGACAGATTTTATAGGAAAGCTCCCGAGTACAAAGGCTGTGAGACGTCCAATGTGTGAAAAGAGTACGGAGAATTCACTGCAAGCAACTGCAAGTCTTTGATAAGGTTTCTACCGCAGCTAATGTGAAGCCAAAAGAAAACAAATATCCAGGGGTTGAAGAAGAAGGGACATTTAGACAAAAACACCTGGAGATTCAACAACTTCTGTCCAAATCCTTGCAGCAAAATCAAGTAACAGAAAGAGACTCTGTTGTTTAAAACCAAATTAACAACCGGTTCTTTAACACAGGTGAAATCCGTGTCATGGCTTTTTTGCCCAAGCACCACACCTCATCTGAACCAATCATATTTCCAGTAAGTCTATCTGCTGTTGTGTACTACGTGTGAGAGAAAACCCCCCGGTTATTGTCCACGTTTCATGAGAAAACAGCTCAACACTGACATGTAATTCCACTGCACGAGAAAAGAGGCTTAACTGGTGAACATCGACATATTTCATCCCGGCAAAGAAAGCTGACACAGCCAATAACTTCTGTCAAAACAAATCGAGTCTAAATCTAGCTCCTGCAGTGATTCCATTTGACTTCACCGTGATTTCACATCTACTTCATTCTCTGCTATTACGACACACACACAGGAACCCAAAGACTGCAGCTTTCTCTATTTTAATCCATCAACTGTTGCTATTAAGAAGACATAGTCAGACAGATGGCCTCAGATGAGCGTACAGTGCACGCCTGTTTAACATTCAAACGCATGAACCCATGGATATCTCTTACAGGTGGGAGTACAGGCCTTTAATAGGTGTGCTTGTAATGTGTTATGATCCGGGCTCGGGGAATGTGAGATGGGGGCGGCGCGTGATCACACTTCCTGTCTCGGTTTCTTACCTTGGCAGCCACAGAGGAGCTGGGTTTCTCCAGGAGATCCCACAGTTTCTTCCTCTTGTCGGGGCAGCAGGTGTTATCAAACTCTATCTCGCCCTCTCTATCTCTCATCGTCTCCGCCTCCCTGCGAAGCTCCTCGTTCATCTGCTCCTTCTTCTGGTGGTATCGCGCCTGGCAGCAGGACTCCAGGTAGATCTCGTCAATCCCCCAGTAGTCCAACTCCTGGCCGAAGGAAAGGGCGCACATCTCCTCCATCATGTGCAGTTTCCCCGTGCGGTAGAAGTTCAGGATGGAGGTGAAAGCTCCCGGGTGGCGGTCGAAGAAGTACTCATTCTCGTTGAGGCTGTAGTCGTCGCACACCTCCATCAGGGAGTCGTGGGTGTTGCAGTCTCGAAGTTTCCCGAGGCGAGTCCTGGGTAATCGGTCCAGAGTTCGCCATAAGACCTCGTGATTCAGCCCCCCGACGTTGAGGCGAACTCTGCGAGACCTTGCTTTGATACGGACGATATCGATGGGCTCGGGGGGAAGAGAAGAGTTGGACCTGATGCTCGAGGACTTCAACCCTTGTCCAATCTTCTCAGCCATGGTGATGGAAAAGGGGGAGATGTTACTCTAAAAAAACTAAACAATAAAAAAGTCCCAAGAATGTTGATTTCTGTTGGATCCTCTTTAGGGAAGTCCCTCCATGGCTGAGGAAACAAAGAGACAGTTTATGAGATTAACATTTTGCAGTGTTCAGCATTTTTCAAGGCGGCTAGATATCATCACTTTCCGGACACACCTGTTACTTAACATTGTCAGTCATAAACAGTAACAGCCGCACAGCGTCATTGATCATTTCATCGCAGGGAGGTGTTAGGCACAATCAATGATTTAGTTTTAACAGTCAATATGGCTGCTTTGCTTTGCACTGCACTGCTGTGTAGTGAAGCGATGGGAAACCTGCTCTCTATGCAGTCCCATCGCTCAGAGAAGGACTCAGGAAGCAAATGAACCAAAATAAACCTCAAAATGCATTCAAGTGTTCTTATTATTTGATTAAATGAATACATTTTAGGTCATTTTAATCACATTTTCTGACAAATGTAACCTCTTGCACATAAAAAAAAGCCACTGTGAAGGATTTTTAATTTGAACTGAATGATTGATATGCCCTTTGCTCTTGGATAAGTCCTCAAAATGATATAAAAAGTTGCACATATTGGAGTCTTTAATCATTTATTGTGGCAGGTTACCATTTTAATTAGAAGCAAGGCTTAACATCATAGTTCACTGAAGATAAGAGGATTTTCTTGAATGCAACAGTTTTTACTTTGCCTGATTCTCTGTAGCAAACACTGGCCACTACAGAGACTATTTCACTATGCAAATGGGACAGAGTGAGTAGGAGTGTGTTGGATTTAAAGCTGCATCGCATTAGTAATCCATTCCTCCTAACTTGTTCTGCAGTCCTATAAATCTGAAAGCCTTGCAGACCTGTTACGCGATTTCTGTTGTAGTTTTTTTAAATAAATCCAACCCCGTATGGTGATCAGTCTTAAAACAAGCTGCACCCGCAACGCGTGAGATCTGCCACATGGTGTGTGTGTTCAAAGTGTCCAGAAACTGACACAGAAAAACAGTTTCTCTCACCTTGCCGAGATAAACCACCTTTTGCATGCAAACTCCTCTTGTTCCTTGGGGGAGTAGAGGGTTGAAAGGGAGCCGGGATCCCCCTCTGGTCAAGCGGCCACTGAGGAGGAGAGCAGTCCGCGGACGCCTCGCAGAGAACGCGCGTCCCACATATTTGATGAAAAACGAGTCGAAAAGAGACGAGGAGAAAGAAAACCGTGAATATCTTCCTCTACTGATGTCCACAGCGACAGAACCGGCGTGGTTTCTCCATCTGTGGAAGCAGTCCTGCCTGTTCCTACATCCGGAGGGTCTGAATCACTCTGCTGCAGACGCGTAAAAGGAGAGTGGAAGGAACGGGATAATCTGCAGAGTGTCCCGCTGCACACTACACGAGGAGGAGCACCCTGCGCCACATCCTCCCAATAAAACACTAATGCAACTGGACAGCACATTACACTCCGTAACACATCCGAGTGAACCCAGATCATCATATTTCGACATTATAGGAACAAATAAGAGGATCAAGTAGAAAGGTTTTAAACACTCACACAGAACGTGCCATTATCAGAATCAGAATACATTTATTAGTGAGGACATGTACATTGTTACAGTAGAAAAGAGCCAAAGACAGCTTCATGTTACCTAAGTAGCTTGCACTAATATTTCTCTTTGCACTTAACACTCCGTAAGACAAACGGGTGAACCCAGATCGTCACATTTCCACATAAAATAAGAGGATAACGTAGAAAGGTTTTAAACACTCACACAAAACGTGCCATTATTAGAATCAGAGGAAATGCACATTGTTACAGCAGAAAAGAGCCAAAGACAGCTTAATGTAAATAGCTTGCACTAATATTTATTTTGCACATTCTATGGACAATCTTGCTCTAATATACATTCTCAAAATATTGAAGTGACTGTTATTTTGTATATATTGATTGTTGTGTTTTTATTTAGGTCTTAATGTGTGCACATGTACACATGTGTCCTAGACTGTATATACATATTTGGGATTGTGGGAAACGGTATTTCGATCTCTCTGTCTGTACAGTACACAAACAAACTGAAAGATTGACAATAAAGTTGACTTTGACTTGAACAAATTCAAGATAAAAAAAGAATTATGATCAAAAAAGTTACACAATTTACAAAAAACACATAACTTGATCTCATATCTTAGAAAGCTTCGTAAAGCCTGGGTTTGAAGAGTTGGCAGCAAATGAGATGCACACTTTGCCAAAGGCGACTTTTAGTGAAATGGCCATGAAGTGTAAATGCACTAAAAAGCCTGCAGCGTTTTAAAGAAACTCTAAATACAGATAAATGATTTTACTGTGAGAGAAACACCCTCCTCCTCCTCCTCCTCCTCCTCATCCTCCTCTTCCTCACACTCTGTGTTGCCACTAATTACGTGCAACAACAGCTACAGTAAGCATCACATGAGATGCTCACCTGACCCACAGGTAACATGATCCAACAGGAGGCTCCTGACCACTTTGACAGAGCAATAATAATCTACTTTACTGGAGTCATATCTATTAGCTATAAATACATATTGATCTCCCACTCCCTGCTCTCAAATCAATAAATCTAGATATTAAATGATGTATCTGTCATTATGGTTACCTGCACTGCCTCTCGGTTCATGTGTTCAATACAGAAATTATATTTGCTCTCAGTGTGTGTGTGTGTGTGTGTGTGTGTGTGTGCACATTTCCCCTTAGCAAAGCATTTCTTTGGCAGAAATGTGATTATACACTGCATGTGTAATTGATTTTCTTGCCATGTTCCTTCCTTCCAGTGACAAGGGATCAATAATGCAGCATTGACTCACCGGAGCCTGTGTGTGCACGGAGGTCCTGACTGTGTGTGTGTGTGTGTGTGTGTGCGTGCGTGCGTGCGTGCGTGCGTGCGTGCGTGTGCGTGCGTGCGTGTGTGTGTCTGTGTGTGTGTGTGTGTGTGTGTGTGTGTGTGTGTGTGTGTGTTTGAAGGTCAAAGGCTTTGGCTCTGTCCAGATGTCACATGGGGATCTGCAGATATATGCAGATAACTCTTATGGTATATTTATGGCTGCAACATATGGACTTGATGAATTATTTGAAAGTGACTGCAGCGCTGTGTTGCTGCCTCAACCTCTCTGCCATGCACATGTGATTTAGCAAGAGGCTTAAATGCATCTAAGCAGCAACAACTGAGATTTCCTCCAACATCATTTGCAGATTTTGCAGGTTTATCACTCATTTGGGCACTTTTTACTTTGTTTTGTATTATGTAAATGTACTTTTTTTACTTTTGCTGTATTTAAATATTGATTGTATTGGTTCATTCTTTCTTGTATTCTTTTATTATTATTCGACTTCCTCATTATATGCACAGTTGTAAGAAAGTATCATCAGTCTGGAGCGCACAAGTAAAAAAACTATTTGAATAAAACTACTCAATAAAAAAATGTATTAAAGTTAGATTTTTCCCCCAACATTAATGGCATTTCTTGACAGCACTGAGGGTTGGTAAAGCATCTCCCTGACTGCTAATTGACAGATTAAATTAACGACGGGACAGAGATGACACAGCCGTTAATTGCTGGTGCTACAGAGGAATGATGAGGGGCGATTGACTGTGTCCCCGGCCATTGCTTATGATCAAACTGGCAGCCAATCAGCCCTCCTGTGAGTCATGGTGTGTGAGGTATGCTGGTACTAAATAATCTGCAGAGCACAGTGTGTGTAGAGTTATGTCATGTGTTGTGCAGGAGATGCTTCCAGCTAAAACACCACCTGCATGCACGAGGAACTGAAGCTCACGTGGGCGGAATAACTCCAGCCAGCAGCTTCTGTAATTACCAACTTTACATAAAGAAATGTGTAGGCCTGCAACTAATCATTTCTGCATCAATCCATAAATTGTTGGGCTTGTAAAATGTCAGAAATTAATGAAAAGTGTCCAAAGTGTCTTCTGTCGGTGCACAATTCAAATATATTGACTATAACGTGATTACATCATAGACTCTATGCATTACATTAATGCACACAATGTACAACAATATCTGTTTTCTTTTTCTTATTACTGTCTTTAAGTGTCTTCTGTTGGTGCACAACTCAAATATATTGACTATAACGTGATATACAACCGAGAAAAGCATCAAATCTTCACATTTGAGAGTCTGAGAACTGCATTTTCTGACATTTCTGCATCAAAAAATGACTCCAAAGAAGTTCATTTCCCTGCAGCTCTTGAAATGTGCTGTTGCTCTGCAGGTGAAATGTCTTTGTTTCCTCACAAGTGTTCATAGAGATGAGGTTGTGCAAGGATTTACTTTTATTTATTTTTTAAATTCCTGTGTACACTGTGGGCATGTTTGCTTGTGTGGGATGTTGCCATAGCGACCCAAATTGTAGCATGGTGCTGCAGGAACAGTGTGGAGAGACAGTGATTGAATCAGCTGTTTGCTCCATTAACCTTTGCTGTCTGTGTTTATCAGAAAGTGTCCCGCACGCTGACGCTGTAATGGAGACCGTGCAGGAAGTTTTAAACACAACATCCTACGTGTGAAGATGTAGAAAAAGTCTAAATAACCTCCAGCTTCTTCTTCTGTGAGTTCCCATCAATCCCAGTCCCAAAATGATATTTATATATAAGGGACAGTTTCATCCCACAGGCCATAAGACTGTTAATCACCTGAACATCCATAACATTCATCTGTTTGCAAATCAATATTCCAATTACTTGTATACAGACTATTCTGCACTATTATATTATATTTTATTGTATTTACTTGCACTATTTTATCTGTTGTATTGTGTTGCACTGTTGGAGGAGCTTGTGACCTCAGATGTTAATTGATATAACTACACTCTATGTACAAATGTCAATAAAAGCCTTGAATCTTGAATCAAAAAAGTTCTCCTGATGCCTCATCCCTGAGTTTTAAACACAAAATCCTGCGTGTGAAGATGCATGTTCCCATCAATCCCAGTCCCAAAAAGCGTCTCCTGGTGCCTCATCCCGTCACTGCCTGCTGTATTTCCCCTTTCCAATTT